GTCGGCGCAACATCGAGGGCCGAAGGGCCTGTACTGCGCTGTAATGTTCTATGTTCTATGTTCTATGTTCAGAAGGGACTTCAACCATGTTGTAATTGTAACAAGGTCAGCTATGTGGACATCATAGAATATGTGTTCCTCGATTGGCATTATTAACCTTGTTCTATCAGGGAAACCTGACCGACAGATATAAACAGCAGCATCAGACATCTTGTTCGCTCTGAGAGCTGGCCCTGAGGAAGCTGGATCAGTGTCAAGGACTTGTCACGTGTAACTAAAGGGTGATGGGATACCAACCTCTGTGGTGTTATTTTAAGTAGACATTAGTTTAATGTCCGTTATGTGACTATGCTTCTGTTTATTATTGTGTTTTGTGCCTACTTTTATATATTTCTTGTGTGTGATGGATTGATCTCTTTGTCTGTTGCTTGTGTCTTACTGCTCTGTGACTCCTTATTGTATGTCACTACTTTGCGTGGGACTGCCCATCCTCAAATGTGACTCGTCTTTGCCTTTGATGACTTTTCAGGATGCTCCAGATTTTCTAAACCCCGTGGAATTTCTGGTGGTGTTTGCGTTATCAAATCCAGAGGATGGACCAGTTCTAGATGCCAGTTTACCAAATAAAAAGAAAGCTTTGGTAATTTAATATACTCTAATTTTTACAATCTATTGGGTTTTTGAAAAGAGTTAAGCATTTTTTATTTGATAAAACAAATTGTAGACCATGATATATTATTCAATGTAGTGAAGTCTGTAATATAAACTTCGAGGTCCAATTCATCTCAACAGAGCTCCTGAAATCTGCCCATGGTTTTTTACTGGTTGATTTGGCATTGGCTGTGTAAGGGCAAAGTGTGGTGAGTAGGGGAATGCTTTGACTTAAGATTGGTCAGGTCTTATTAGGAGCATGGCGTAAGTGGTGTCTTGTGGGTAGACATGAGATGGCACTAGTTGAAGTGGTCATGGTGTGGCTGGATGGTATGAGGTTGTGAGTAGAGAGGGTAGATGGACAGAGATTGGCAAGAGTTGGCTTGGATAGGCCACGAAGAGTGTGGGGGTCTGAGGATAAGGGATGGAAGTTGTTTTTACTTTGTTTTTATTACAACTGGGACAAATTCTCAGAGTACATAGTCAGGCCCACCACCTGCAGACTCGGAGCGGAAATGACTACAGGAGCCGCTGAGTGCTGAGCTCAGCTAGTTAAGACCATAAGATGTGAGAGTAAAAGTTGGTCATTCAGCTTATCAAGTTCATCCTTTCATTCAGTGAGGCCATGGCTTATCTGATAATCCTCAACTTGATTTACTTGTCTTATCTCCATATCCCTTGACTCCTTAATGATTTAAAATTTATCAATCTTAGCCTTTGATACACCTCACATTCCAGCCTCTACAGCCCACTGTGGTTCCACAGATTCACCATTTAGGTGAATGGACTCCCACAAGTTTTGACGCTTCAGGTCTTTATAGTGTACTCTGGGATCAGGTTTGTCCAGTATTACCACCAGCTGGAATTAAATTAAAAAATACAGACTTTATATCAACCCTGAAACATTAAGTCAGTAAAAACAATGAACAATGATCAGACACATTTTAAAAATAGATTTTTTTTAAAAGGTCTCGACATTTTCTGATTTGAAATGTGGCAGGCACACTACCCATTATCTAACCTCACAACTTGACAGAAAGTTTGGGCTAAGTTTTTGAGCCAGTTAATTTCAGGGCACCCAATAGGTGTTTTTTTGTCATAGCATGAAGGCATCACTTGCTGAGGCCATATTAAGTGACCATCCTTAATGGGGTTTTAATGTAAAAATGACAGTAATATAACACACATTTATTCCATATTTTCTGATGGAAAAGGATATTTTATTTAGCATGTTTCCAGTTATTGCTTTTTTTTTTGGGGAACAGATTAGGACTGCTAAGTTAGACTTGTATTGCTAAGTGTGGATCTAGTTAGTACTGTTCTATTTTGCTGCAAATTTAGTGCTTTTGGGTTTAGATGGAGTCCATATCTTTAAAGTGTAATTGCAAGTTGCATTGCAGGATAAACTGTTCTACATCCAGTTTGTTCACATTTATAATTAGCGTACGGCTTTGCTATTCAGGCACGTGTACCCAGAGGAACTGAAATAGCCGCAGTTATTGTTCAGCTCTAACAGGAGCTTGTCACACACCACAACCAGGTTATTTCTCCAACTAAACAAATTCTTAATCACTACAGCTTAGCTCATTTGTGTATTCTCTAATTTACTGTTAAAAATGTACTCCATCAGGTATCTTTCACAAAGGATTGTGGAGAAGATGACGAGTGCATCAATGATCTGACACTTAGTGCGCATGCAGACTTGAAGGGTGACAAGTAAGGAAGGTTACAATATACATTAGTTATACAAATGTCTACTATCCTTTCAGGTTTCTTTTTATTACTTGTAATCTCTCTGATGTGTGGTGAAAAGAATATTTTTGTTATTTCTTACAACTATTATATTGTACAGAGACCTGGCAAAAGCTGGCCTGAAATTTGTGCATTTCTTTGGATAATGACGGTTCCCTTTTGGAGAGATAAGGTATCCATTTGGTCTGATCCTGGGACACCTTCTTCAGTTGCCTTTTTGGAATTGTTAGAAGTAGGAATCAGTGTGCATAAAAAGCGCATTAACTCATTAGCTGTCAAGTTCATTGGAACTGTCAACAACCCTGTCAAAATCAACACACAAAACTGTGAAAAGCAACTGTCAGAGGAGGACCTGCAAAAACGGGATGAGGGCCTATCAAGAGGATCTATGGAAAGTGCCTGTCTAAAGCAATTGCCCAAGGGAAATGTCAAGCTGCCAAGAATTTTTGTACTCCTGCCCTTTAAATATTGAGAAAAGTGTCTGGAGTGTTAAACACAGAACAT